ACACACACACACACACACACACACACACACACACACACACACACACAAGAGGTGCATGGTACAGTCACAACAAAAACCTGGTCTTTACACTGCAGCTACATGACACATTTACACATACTTCTGCATGCAAACAAATGTGCAAAATGTTTGCTTTTATAAACCACAATCTATGAAACCCAGTCATATAGTGTATTTTAACTATTTATAGCACCACCATCCTTCTCTAAAGATAGGGGGCATATGTTGGTACTTTAGAACAGGCACAGTGATATCAAAACGCTCACATTTAAGTGGCGATAATATGGAAAGTGTAGGACGTTTGCACCTCAGGTGTAGTCGTGATTCAGATAGTTGTGAGATGCAGACATCTGGCTGAGCAATAATGAAGCCTTTGAAGACTGTTCAGGTACCGACAACAAGCTATAAAAAGGTCTGGAATTTAACATAAAACCAAGACAATGTTCATGTGTCTTTGTGATGAGTAGACAAAAATGAAAACAAGGGCAACCATGATTAAGGGGGCGGGCCGGCCAATGAGGAGGCGGCATCCACAGATGTTTCTGTATGTTAATACTACTGCTGATGCAAAGATGGCTGTAAACTTCACAGCAAACGCTGAAATGACCCTGGACGAGTAACACTGTCGGTAAGAGTTAACAGCACTTTACAGGAATATTTCACCCACAAAGTCACCATTACCATCGTTACCTTGAATTCTTGAAGAAAACTTTGTTTTGCTTGCATGCCTCCACGATGAACGAAGTAAAAGAGAAACGTCCTGATGAATTAAAGTAAGGGTGCCGCGTTTAACGACAGCAAAGCTACATTAAAACATCTGTTGAACTTGTGACGTAACATCCAATTCTCACTTATCCAATCGTATGCTCACTGCACGATGCATGTGTTTTGGAAGTAGTAAATATACGACTGTATGAGTTTTGCGGTTGTTAAATACGTCCCCCATCTACTTCAATCCTCAGTTTTTGGATACTCTGTTCCCCGTGGAGGCATTTGAGAAAAAGACAGTATTCTTCAAGAATTCAAGGTAACACGAGTGGGGTGAATTAATATAAAAATTGTCGTTTTGTGGTTGAAGTATTCCTTTAAGATCCCAAAACCTCATTTAAAAAGAAAAACAGAAAAGATGTGCCTTGCCTGTTACTTTTCAAATACGTCACGTAAACAGCAAACGTTCCCTTCATCCTCACCTTGTTAATACATTTGTGCTGGTCACTGAGGACGCCCCTGTCCTCCTCCTGCTGTTGCTGCTGCTGCTGCTGCGGCTGCTCCTCTCCATGCTGCCTGTCCTCTTTGCCTTGTTTTTCCTGAGCGAAGAGCCGGCGCCGGCCCGCTTTGACCTGAGCCTCTAGCTTCTTCAGACGATGATACACTCCATTGGCGCGGTGGTTCCCCGTCGCCCCTCCCACTATTCCACCTACCAGCCCGTTCTTGGGCTCGTAGCGTGGCAGCACCAATGCGCTAGGCGCCGAGGAGTCCGAGAGACCCTCCAGAGGGCCCCGGCGCGACTCCAGATTCTTTTTCTCCTGCAGCACTTCGGCCTGCAGTCTCAGGCGCTCCTCAGCGCTGAGCGAGTCATAGGAGAGGATGTACTGGAGATACGCCTCCTGCAGCTTGGCCAGCCGGTCCTGCGCAGACTTAGGGATGCGCAGGAGGTCGGCTAGCTTGGTCCACTTCTTCAGGTCCATCACCTGCTGCATGCCGCCCATGTCGTTGATGAGCTGGAAAAAACGTGACAGGTCCACTTCACAGCCACCTGCGTGGAGCAGAAGGGAAACATGAAGAGTGAGCTTACAGTGGGTAGTCATACAAATTGTGAAGGTTGATGCAGGACTCCATGTGTCTCATGGTAACATTAAAAATGTATCAAGCATCTGCTCCTTTGGCAAAACCTCCATCCCAGTTCATTTCATTTTAAAGTGCCAATTGATCTGTCACCTTTCAAAATGATCTGAACCATCATTGTGCCAAACAGAGACACAAATTCTGTTAATGTAAAACTGATCTGCTGGGCGCAGTGAAGGAAGTCATTTGGAACCAGGGTGTCCTGGCTGGCTGAAGCCACTCCTCTGTGGCTCACAGGCTGCCAGACCTCTCTGGCTAACGGCCGCATACCAAAACGGGCTAAAATGAATACAGCTGTATATTAAAACCAACAAACACGGCATAGCACTTGCCCAACATGAACCAGTGCAAAACGAATAAAATTCAACAACCGCGTATGCATCGGGAACGGAAAAACTCACTTCTACAGATTCCGTCTTAGCTGGGCTGTGGTAAAGGCTCATAAAATGCTGATGTCATTGTGAGAAATGGAAGGTGACCAGACAATCTGGGGTTAAATATTGTTTTTATGGCCCGTCAGGCCCCTCGCCAAGTTGTTCCACATTGTTACTGTCATCTATAAACGGGAAGATATAATCAGGCAAAATGCCACTGACACCAATGGAAACGGCAACCTTTGCTGCTATTGTCCTAGCAGATGTGACAAAACACAGTTTACAAAGAGCAGGATACTGAGAAGGTAAAAGGCTTTTTTTTTTAATATACTGTTTTTAGTTTATCCTTCTCTCATCATCTACATTCAACACAAGTGTAGACATGGCTGAGAGGAGGAGTTTGGAATGGGGTGTCTGGGTTTACACTCCCATACAATCGATGGCTCTGATCCTCTGTGGCAGCCTGCAGGAAGAAACCTGTGGCTTATTGCTTAGTTAATTCAATCAACTCAGGAAGGAGTTTGGTAGACTAAATTGTCTTGTGTACCATTCACATATACATATGTGCCCCCCCTGTATGGCTCACTTACCAATGACAGGTGGCTCATCCATGGTAATACCCTGAGATTTGAGGTGCTTGCGAATGCAGGCTAGCCGCTGCACGTTGGGGCCCCAGCGCCGGCCCAGCATGTGGACCCTCTGCACCTGTGTAACAAAACGCATCTCCTCGCTCAGCTTGCACTCCGGCCTCCAATCTGGTGGTGGGCCCACGCGACACATTCCAGCCACCTCGGCCTGCTCCCTCACCGCATCCAAGTACACCAGGGGGTCCTGGAACTCCCGTGGCACCGGCCGGAAGACGGGGGCTTCACCCAGAGCCGGCCACCCATCTGGCCTGCTCCGCTGGCGCTCCCACTCCTTCTCTTGCGCACGTTCCTTCTGGCGTGCCGTCTCTTTCTCGCGCTCCCACTCCTTGTCTCGGTCAGCCAGCCGAAACGCTGCTGGTTTGAGCTGCCCGGGGTTGCTGGTGGATGTCAGCAGAGAGGAGGTGTTGGAGGAACACACAGAGGTCTGTTGGGGGTCTGAGGTAGTATTGGCACGACTGGGGTTCTGTGGGTGATTCGGGCCTGATGAGGGTGAGGAAAAGGAGGAGTTCCGACCGTGAGACCTGCTCTGCTGCTGCTGTGCTTGTCGAATCAACATCAGCTTGCCGGCTGACGCCCGCTTGGGTCGCTGGTTCACCGGCTCCGCATTGGCTACTGGTGTATTAGGAGGCGGGGTTTGTTGAGGAGGAGGAGTAGGAGGTGGAGATGGGGTAACAGGTGGAGTTTGTTTGGGAGAAGGGGGTGTGTCTGATTCGTGTCCGTTGGAAACTGGAGTGGTTGGGGTGGTGGTTTGTGTGGCAGCTTTCTCTTGATTGGCCGCCTTCTTGCTGCGCGTCTCCAGAGGTGCGGGTTGAAGCTTGGCCTTCTTGGCCTCAATGCCAGTGGTTTTGGCTTTTTGCTCAACAACCCCTGTCCCCACAGAGCTGAGGACCACCTCCAGACGCCGCTTGGAGTTACGCAGTCCCTCTCGACCCGGGCACTCCCCTTGCTGGCACTGTCTCTGCCCGTCCTCCTTGGCCAGGGTGTTGTACCGCTGCCCATTTAGCCTGCCGTTGAGGCGGGCGACGGCAGCCACATTGTTAAGCCCATTGGATAGTAGCACCTGTTTGCGGGTTTTTGCATTGCTGTGGTGGGCTGGTGCCGCTGCTTTTCCTGAGTTAGCCAGCCCATTGCTGGCTGCTGGCTGGCTATGCTGATTGTGATTGTTCGCCGACGATGGTGCCGAGGCGGCGCTGTTGTGTTTGTTGCTGCTGCTGAGTTTGGTTTTCTTGCCCAGTTCTCTCTGTTTGGCTTTGGTGTAGGTGACGTGGCCCTTGGACACGGTGGCTGTGTACTTCTTCACAGTTTTGGACGGCAGTCGGAAGTCGCGGCTCTTCTTGGTACCACCGACAGCTTGTGCCGAGCCCGCCCGCGTCAGCCCGTTCACTTTAGAGACCTGAGAGGAAGTGGGATAGAGATAGGACAAGTTAGATGAATAAGATAAATAACCTTATCACAATGTTTTGGATCAATCATGGATATGAAGTAATTGAAATATTCTGGAAAACAGGAATCTTCGCTGGAAGGGAAGGGGGGGGGTTATATCTCCAAAATAATCCTGTTTGATGAGATTTCTGAATATAAAAAGTTAAAAACAGTATTGCATTAAAGATAGTAACCCACACACAGATACAATTCTATAATCAGAAAGCACAGCAACACACACACACACACACACACGCACAGGGGCGTGGGCGCGCCCACACTCCACAATGACGGGGCCAAACATATTTGCGGAAGTCTACACTATTCATTTGACAACCGATCAACTCTTTTGATTACTATACTTTCAAACGCAGTACACTTTTGTAAACTGCAGCTCAAACTGCTGTCAACACAAAGGCAGAGATTTAGGATATGCGCAAACCAAAACCAAAAACCACTACATCCCGAGATAAACAACAGTTTAGAACGGGCAGATAAAAGAGAAATGGCATGAGAGGGAGAGAAGGGATGGCTCCATGGTTTCTGCTAGCAGATGGCTGGACAGTATGAGGTCGGAGGTGGGGTCATTGGGACGGAATAAAATCCCATCCGGGCACATAAAAACAGCCTTTTATTTGCTTACGGTTTTCCTGAAACTATAATTCAATTTTTTGAGCAGAGACAGAGAGAGAGACAGACAGAGACTGTATGTGTACATGAATGTGTGTGAAGCCTTTGAGGCCTCCAGCTGTGGATCAGTGGTTTGGCACAGTGGCGTCTGGTTCCGTGGCTGGCCCACTGGCTACAGCTGTGTGAAGAAACACGGCCACCCTCTCCCTCAGTGCAAAGAGCTTTACAGCTGGATCAGCACATGTAAGAATCCATTGTGTAAAATTTAATTCTGTACAGGACTCTATCTAGCTCAATCTCTACATTGCCCACTATGCATTTCTAAGAACATCCACTTCTCTCTCTTCCTCTCCCTCCTCGTCCATGTTGTTTTCATGGCCCACTTACAGTGCTGCCAGGAGTTTCCTCTCTCTCCAATGTGTGTGCGTGAGAGTGAGAGAGAGAGAGAGAGAGGGAGATTGCTACAGTGTTCGGAGATCTTGTAAAATTAAAGATATGTGGCTGTCGATATCTGAATGGGTTGAGCAGGATATATACTTTTCCTTTTGTTTTTATTCTCTAATATCCAAACGATGTGTTGCAAGGTTGGGAAAGACACGCTTGTACTCCAGCCATCATGGAGCCCTGCTGTCTTTAGAAAATGAATGATCATATTTCGCCGCCATCCGTCCACGGTTTCTGCCTTTCTGTCCAGACCAGCTGGAAGTGAACCACAGAAAACAGAAAGGAAGGAGGAGGGATGGGAGAGATGGAGTTATCAATCACAGTTGGGGCGCCACAGGAGGGAGGTGACAGCCGGCCCATTGACAGGTTTGCCTTTGAAGGGCTGTCGTGTCAAGGGCTGTGTGTGTGTGTGTATATATATATATATATATATATATATATATATATATATATATATGTATACGTGTGTGTGTGTGTGTCTGCTCATGTATTGTATTCGTCTCAGGTGGCGGGGGGGCCGACACAAAGACCAAGCCATTAAAAGATAAGGGGGGACTGAAACCTAACCCTGCCTCCGTCAATCATTCCCCTCCAACACACACACACACACACACACACACACACCATGGAAAAACACAGGGTGACAAGGAGAGAGGGAATAAAGAATGGGTGTTGAGGAGTGGGGAGTGGAAAGGGATGAAGACTGAGACAGAAAGACAGAAACAAGGCTGCACAGCAAGCCCTGCGAGTCACATTATGTGCATTCATCACAAAAAAAAAAAATAATTTATCTACCAATGGGACACAATATCACAATGTTCAACTGTTGCACTGATGCTGAAAAAGTACCTAACTGCTAAAGAAGCAGTTCTCCAGATAGCTACGATATTTCTCCAGCCACAGTTTGCTGACAAAGCATTGAATCCGAGAGACACCACACTGTCGTGACCGCTTCCTGCCACAGGAGGGCTCAGTGGACCGGCTCCTCTTCAGGGGAGCTCGGCAAGTCTCCATCACTTTTCTCTCTTTAATTATTCGGTCTGGTGGCAAAGAAGGACGGCAAGACGGGTGATGACGAGAGAAAGGAAATACGAAGCAGAGCCAAAGAGGCAGGAGCTAGTTTAAATACTTTGCGGGGGAAGGAAGGAAAGAAAGACGGAAAGCAAGAGATACGGAAAAAGGACATGGAAGCTCACTCGCGCTAACAGCCACCGGTAGAGAGAAATGAGAGGGACGATGGACAGGACAAGAAAGACAATGGAGCCAAAGGGAAAAAACTGAACACACACACACACACACACACACACACACACACACACA